CCATCCACTATAACCCACTATAATTAAAATCTTTAATTTTTCCGCTTTTTAAGCTTACAAATCTATGCTTAAAAAAATAGGAAAATTAATTAAAAAATAATAATAGTAAATTTAAATTAATTATTTATTAAGTTTAGATTTTTATTAATTTACTTACATATAAAAATCTTGATTTATTTATACTTAAAAGCTATAAGTTTTGGTGTAAAAATGGGTCAACTTAATAATAAATGTCTAGTGACTGTACTTTGTCACGATGCGATGCTTCGATGGCCCTGGGCCTGGCGACGTCCCGCGCGGATGAGCCACGGAAAGCTCGCTCCAGGGCCCCGATTTGGGTGAGATTCTTGGCCTGTGTCGACAGATGCCATCATGTGAAGAAGTAAGCCCGTTGAAAAATCTATCCGAGTCTTTGCTAGTCCGCCGGAAGAATCGCTGTCACCACCCGTGTTAACAAAATATACAAGTAGATTTTTTTAGTCTCTTAATCCCCTATAACATCCACTATAACCCACTATAATTGAAATCTTTAATTTTTTCGTTTTTTAAGCTTAAAAATCTATGCTTAAAAAAATAAGAAAATTAATTAAAAAATAATAATAGTAAATTTTAATTAATTATTTATTAAGTTTAGATTCTTATTAATTTACTTACATATAAAAATCTTGATTTATTTATACTTAAAAGCTATAAGTTTTGGTGTAAAAATGGGTCATTATTGAGACTTTTGTCTAGTGACTGTACTTTGTCACGATGCGATGCTTCGATGGCCCTGGGCCTGGCGACGTCCCGCGCGGATGAGCCACGGAAAGCTCGCTCCAGGGCCCCGATTTGGGTGAGATTCTTGGCCTGTGTCGACAGATGCCATCATGTGAAGAAGTAAGCCCGTTGAAAAATCTATCCGAGTCTTTGCTAGTCCGCCGGAAGAATCGCTGTCACCACCCGTAGAGTAGAAAAGCCATGTCTCGCCGTGCAACATGGTATATACTATTCCCAGGCGGTTTCAGCAAACACTCATAGTCCACAAGTAACCAAGCAACCAATCCTTCCTCTCAGAAAAAATGGTTATGAAGTCCTCCATCGCCGCCTCCCTCTCGGCCCTGGCTGCCGTGGCTGCAGCCCGCGATGTTCCCGCCAACGTCAAGAGCTTCTACAACAGCATCCGAGGCCAGGGACAATGCCGCAACGTTCTCGCCGGGGGCTTCCATAGCATAGACGGCGATTCGGGAAGTAAGTGACTCTGTTCGCAATGGCATATTTACATCCGCTCTCTTGAAGACCACACACACGGAGAGAGAAAGAGGGCCCTGACATGAAGCCCGTAGACTTTGACTACTGCGGCGACCACATCAGCGACTACAGCGTCATCTACCTGCAGGGCAAAAACGGCCAGCTGGCCAACATGGACATCGACTGCGACGGCATCCAGCACGGCCCGGCCGACGACGGCCGCTGCGGCTCCTCGGGCGACACCCAGTCCGTCACGTCCTTCGCCGACACCCTCCGCGGCTACGGCACCGGCCAGCGCGATCTCGACGCCAATGCCCATCCGTACGTCGTCTTTGGCAACACGGGCAGCAGGAAGGGCTACGCAAACTTTGACCCGAGGAAGTACGGCGTCGAGCCGCTGAGCGTCATGGCCGTCGTGTGCAACAACAAGCTGGTGTGTAACATGCTCCCCCCTAAGATTACACATGAATCGCAACGAGTGCCGGTTACTGAGGGGAAAAAATTGTACTCCGCAGATCTACGGCGTTTGGGGCGACGAGAACGGCGACGACGGCCCCGAGTCCATGGTCGGCGAAGCCTCCATTTCCCTTGCCACGGCGTGCTTTGGCCGCGGCGTCAACGGCAACTCGGGCCACGACGACAACGACGTCTTGTACATTGCGTTCCCGGGCAGGGACGCCGTCCCCGGAGCAAAGGGCGCCAAGTGGAATGCCCAGAACTACGACGAGTTTGAGGACAGCATCGCCGGCCTGGGGAATGAGCTGATTCAGAGAATCGGCGGCGGGAACCAGCCTCCTCCTACTGGATCTTGTTCCTGGAAGGGACACTGTAAAGGTGGGTGATTTCTTTGAATGGGTGGTTTATTTTTATTTTTTTTATTTTTTTTTTTTTTTCAAATCGTGGTTACTGAGTTGGAGATGACGTCGTCGCATCGTCAGTCTCGCAAGCAGTGTACCACTTCCCGGAGAAAAGTCCAAAGGCACTAATGGTCCGTTTAGGCGCTCCCTGCAAGTCTGAAAACGACTGCTCCGACGAATTGGTCTGCAACGCTGGGAAATGCGGCAGCGCCGGTGGTTCAACTCCTCCTACGCCGCCGCCGTGTAGCTGGGAAGGACACTGCCAGGGTACGCGTTGTTTCGCAATCCCCCCCCCCGCGGAAGTCAATTTCCTACGCGGTTGAACGCTAATGATTGAAACATTAGGTGCCTCTTGCCGTAACGAGAACGAATGTGCTGATTCTCTGGTCTGTCGTGGCGGTCGATGCTCGCAATAGATGGTTGTTGGTGTTCCATCAATCGTTGCAGGGCGGCTTAAGACAAAGAAAATAAAAATATAATACAAGTAGGGATGCTGGTTCATACCAAGCACGGTACGACTGTAAATTGGGTACACGCACACTGTACATATTACAAACAAAGCAGGAAGCGGCTAAAGTCAGATCCTCCTTATATATAAATATATATAGATGGGCGTATTGATTCGTTTTATTGTGAAACAACTCTATAAATCGCCTCCAACCATCCTGATGCGTCCCTCCAAAACCGGCGCAATAACTCTTGTCCAGTCGACGGCGCAGTCCCCGTCTTTCAGGGGCTCACAAACCTTGCACTTGACGCCCGCCTTCTTTGTCCACCTCGCCCAGAACTTTCTCAGCAACAAAATCTCCAAATCCATGTCTAGATCCTCATCCCCACCATGCTCACTGCTGTCCTTGTGGTTTGCGCGGGGATCGAAATGGTCGTCATCGTCATCGTTCAATGGCTCTTTGTGCAGACCGACTCTTCGTCGGAGAAAACCCTTCCACGTTGCACCTGCTGCTTCGTCATCTGTCTTGGGTGGCTTGTGAAGACCCAGCATCTTTTCCGAGTCGCGTGCGTGTGAGGGAGATAAGGGCACGTTGGCTTGCTCTGCTACATCGACCCAGTGGTCTGAAATGCGTTTCCATTGCCCAATGGTCCGGAGAGCCATGAAGTATTGCCGGAGTATGGCGGATATGAGGACGCCGTTTTCTTCGTCGACGATTTCGTGGGCACTACCGCCTTCGGAGGAGACGAGAAGGCTAGTGTAGCCATCTAATTCGAGTTAGTAGGACTGCTTCGCGGAGTGGCGATATGGAGGCGTGCCTACTCACCTTTTCCTCTGCCCATGTATCCCCTCGTGACTAGGACGTATTCATCTTCTGGGTTGTAAGGCCGGCCGCCTATTTGCATAAAATTCAATCTCTTCCCAGGCTCCCTGCTGGGATCGAATTCGAACACAATATTTGACACCTGGGGAAACCGACCCTCCAACGCCGGGTATGTCGACACTCCATTCTCTAATGCATCCCAAATGGCCTGGCCCTTGACCCGTAGACACACAACCGGGTCCTCGAACGGGAAGCATGTCGTGATATCCTTGATGCGCACTACGCCTGGGGGATACACCTGGTCTCCACGGATAGTGCCCGATGCCATGATTGTACAATCCGCGTTGTGGTATCGGCGCATGACGTCGCACACAAAATTGCCCAAATTAGATTCCTTGATTCGAACAGTGCTGAAGCGAGCGTCCAGCGGCATGGCCGTCCACCCGATCGGTCTCGAAAGTGACTTTTGCAACTTGGACGTCAACTCGCCCACCAGTTTGGCCGTCTCCTCATGCTCCGGAACCTCCGAGGTGATGTCCCGCCTCCAGATATCAAAATCCCACCGCTTTGATCCATCCGTTTTCCTCCGGGCTTCAATGTAGCTAAGTTGCTTGAAATCCGTACCCGACCGCAGCACATGGGTGCCTTTGATGAAGCTGTGGCTGTAGTAATGATCATGACCACCGAGTATAATATCAATGAGGCCATCGGTTTGCTCCGCAAGCTTGTTGTCATTTGGTTCCCGCATGTGGCTCAAACAAATGACAATTTCAGCACCTTGGTCTCGCAACTCAGGAACCAGTTCCTTTGCTGTCGCGGACGCAGACTTGTAAACGAGATTAGGCGGCAGGCTGTTAATCGTTGCCAACCACTCTCGCTCGCCCAAGCCAATGAGGCCGACTTTTACACCGTTGGATGTGGTGAGCATGTGCGTTCTTTTGGCGTTGCCAATGGGTACGTCCTCGCCGAGAGCTGGGTCCAGGACGTTGGCAATGAGCCAAGGGAATGTGCATTTTCCTACTAGGTGTTCAAATTGCTTGACGCCAAAGTCAAAGTCGTGATTCTAACAAGTGAACCCGTGGTTAACCCATGTCCAATCTTCGTGGAATGAAAGGGATGGTGAAGCGTCAACTCACACCAACACATGCGCAGTCAGTTCCAATGGCATTCAGAACAGGAACCATGTGGCGCCCTTGGGAATAGTGAGCCTTTGCACGACATGCTTGCAAACGAGGCCCTCAAAGGACTCACCCTTGGTCACGCTACTCTCCAAGCTAGGGTTAAAAGCATCGCCCGAGAACAAGGTCAAGATCTTGGGTTGGTTCTCAAAGTGCTTCCCCTCTTGATATTCCTTGCACAACGTCATAAAGCGTGCGAGCCCTCCAACCGGTTCCGCACTCGCTGCGTCGACATGGTAGACATCGTTGTAGTGTAGCAGTCGCACGTCAGGGATATCTCGGGTCTCTCGGTTGACGCGGCCAGAGGAATACGTCTCTTGGGGATCTGCGCTGGGCGGCTTCTTCTTGTCCCGAGCCATGGCGACTCTACTACCTGAGTTTCCGGGGAGAAAAGGGGGGAGAAGGTAGGACAAAGCCCACTTCACACGTTGATGTATCTAACATATGCAAATTGAAATAGCGGCTGAACAATGATCAAAACTCTCTCACGGTTCGCCTGGATCGCGAAGTGGCGCAGGAGCGTCTTAGTGTGGATGCTAAAGTTATGGGGAAACAGGACAAGAAACTCGGTTTCTCTGCCTCACGTGATGCTGAAATTGCTGATTTGTTTGCGGCTGTCCAAAATTGTTGAATTGGTCCCCTGGTGATTAGCTGGAGATCGAAGGGACAGACAGGTGTCCATACAAGACGGTGTTCCATGTTTAGAAGAGGATGCAGCATGGCGGCCGAGGAATTGTCAAAGGGGAGGCATCGAGTGGTCGGTTGGTCGGTAGTTGGTTGGGTGCCACGGTCGCACGGCCACGGTGCTGTATGGTGGGGTTGTGGCACATGCCCCGCTTTCACCTTGTTTCTGTTGGCAGATGCAAGCAAAGAGTAGTACTCCGTATGGCGTTATCAGAATGGCCTTAGACTCAAGTCACTCCAAACTTGACTTTTTCAATAGTGGTAGTGTCCAACAGAGATTTTAGAGTATGTCCACAAACGACTTTGAACCATGATCATCGTACCTTATTATAAAACCATTTCCCACGTGTCCGATTAATAATAAACGTCGCATGTCATAGTGAACACTCCCGTTCTAAACCCCCCTCAACGAAAAGACAGAGAATGCCCGTACAAATGCACCCATCTAATCCAAGGTCCACTCCAATGTATCCGCGGCATGTACTGTTATATTTCCCATACACATGCGCCTCATAGCGCTGCTTTTCCTCTTGACTCAAATGGCAATAACAAAACCAGTATGCCCGCAGCAATAAATAACGCGCCGCTCGTATACACCGGTGCGGCAGTCTCAAGATTTGCAAACATGGCAACAATAGGCTACCGAAAACAGAAATTAGCCAGATCCTCGCGCGTTTTTATTTTCAACTGCCAATCCACCCATTCGAAATGTGACTTACCGCCATGATACCAAACACTCGGTTGCAAGTCGCCGTCAGAGCATTGCCCGTTCCTCGTTGGGGAGTAGGAAAGACTTCGGGCGTGTATCCGTACAGCACCGCGTACATGACATTGCTGCAAAAGTTGAATGCACAGTTCCAGCCAAGAAGAGATGTGCTGTTCAGCGCCGTAGTAGAGCAATATAAAAAGACGCCCGTCAGTGCCGTGAAGACCGAGAGCGTGCCCTTTCGGCCGATCCGGGGCAACTCCACCAGCACACCTCCCAGAAGCGCTCCTGGGACACCAAGGGCGGAAATGATGAGACTGTTTCGATAGGTGATGTATGTGCTACCGTCGTCAAACTGTGCACCTTTGCTCGCCTGGATGTAAGGAAGGAAGGCATTGTACAGAGGGTACGCAAGTCCAATCAGCGCCCAGATGGTCATCATTATACTAGTGCTGAGAGCCATTCGCGTGGTAGCAAATAGAACCTTGACTTTCTTGGCATCGACTTTTTCAAGATGTCGCTTCACTGCTGCGGCTGCATCTGTCTGAGCGACATAGCCTTCCGGTTCACAAGCCCTGATGTCTTCGAGAGTCAGGGTGATGGTTTTGCCGTTTCGCTTCGCTACCTCGTGGATGACACGAACAGCCTCCTCATCTCGTCCCTTGCCAATCAAATACTTTGGCGATTCGTAGATTGTGAAGAGCAAAAATCGGGCCAGGAACATGAGCAGAGTCAACCCCCCCATGGCAATGACAAAGTAACGCCAGCCCATGTTGTGACTGCGAAGACAGGGCTTCTCCTTCTCGTCGCACGTCAAGTTACCCAGCAGCGGCCACGCCACCAGGTTGGCGATGACCTGGGCCAGCGCCCAGTCCAGTGACAGGATGGTGAGCAGATACTGGTGCGACTGCGGGAGGAACTCCAGGAAGATGGCCGAATCAACTGGCAGGTTGCCGCCAACACCAAACGACCACAGAGCAGCAAAGACGCCGGCGGCGGCGAAATTGGGAGCGCTGGCCGCAATCATTCCCCAGACAGCCGTGAGACCTAGAGTCAGGTTGAAGCCCCATTTGCGGCCAAAGATGTCACATCCGAACCCCCAAAATACCGCCCCAGCCAGGAGACCGATGTTTTGCGCAAGTGTGAAGAGCGGCGGTCTCGATACGTTGAACTCGTTGGATATGGCGGGCAGGATGAGTGAGGTGACAATTGGCCACAGATTGTCGCTTGCCCAGCCAAACCCGACGACGATGAAAAGCTGCCATTGGTACCATCCCATGCCAATGTCACGAATCTGTTTGACGTGTCGGTGGCGGAATATTAGCAAAACTTTGATCTGCATGTGGATTGCACGGTGCATCATGAAATACGGAGCAGCGTCTCGGTTGCAACGAGACGCCGATGCAACGAACTAGGAAACAACAAGAAACATGGCTAATACGTACAGCGCGATTCAAAAGTCGGGCTTTGGCCTCATAGACGGGATCCAAGGTTCCCTTGGGCACAATTGCAGCATCATCATCGCTGAGGTAAATGCTGCTGTTGTACTCGTCGTCGTCGCGCGGCCGCGACCGCTCGTCTGAATCGGTGGCGCCGTAGCCCATCGTGAACGATGTGCAGAGGCAACGACTCGCGCTCTTTGGCCCTATGCGGAGGGGAAGGAAGAGCCGGCGCGAGGACGGGAAACTTGGAAAGGGTAAGCGATGAACAAGTCAATGTGACACTCGCCCTTTTGTACATGGAGACGCAGTCCGCGACATTTGTGCTTTTGTAGTACCATGATCCATCACCATCAGCTCCATGCAAGCTTGCACTTTGGGTACAGCCCAAAGCTACCATGCTACCATACCAAACACACAAAAGGCGTGGGAGGTGATGGCGCGATCAGGCCCTGGCTGCCATGATTGGCCCTTGATATGTTCCGAAGCGGGCTCAGATGGCCACGACGAACATCGGCGGCGCCACATGGCTGCTAACAGGATGCGTTATGTGGAGGAAGCCTGGAGTCGATCCGCATTCGCCGTCATCGTACAGCCCCCGAGACAATAGGGCAGGACCTCCGACAGGCAAGAGATAATCTTGGTTTAGTTGAGGTTGACATGGAGGGAGAGTCGAGCAAGTCTTTCGGGCCGACAGAAACTGCCTCAGGCAAATGCTGCTGCGCTCACTCACTCACATCTGGCCGGCATCAAAATGTAACAATTCTTTTAGCGCTCACGAGTCACTTAAGAGTCACCACGAACAACGCCGACGAGTTCCAAATGCCCCGACAGCCAGTAACTAACCGTAAGCGACAGTGAAGCTAGCTGGGAAGCTCAGCTTGCCGGTGGGTGCATTGGTTTGTCAGCTGGCTGGAAGCCGGCATGGGTCGGCCGGAAGAATGCGTGCAGCACGTCATCAGGCAGCTTCTTGAATCCATATCACGGTTCAATGCATTCTATCACAAGATTGAGGATGGCGGTGTCGCATCTGTTGGCGGACCAGAGGGATGAGTTCGTTTCGTGAGCCATCGCTTCTAGAAGCCGACGACGCCCATTCGATGGAGCACCCACGAGCTTATCAGTAGTAGTCGTGGCATCATGGCCAAAGATCGGAGCGTACAGCTAAAAATACGCAGCCAACAGCGCACCGACGCCGACTAATTTCATCTCGTCAAGCCTGTGATTTTGTGATTGTGAGATTGCGATGCGTTGCTCCATTCGTAGCCGAGGTCGATCATTAACTAAATTGCAAAGCGCCTCGCATCTCTGTGGCGAGTGGTAGTTGGTATTTATCAAAGACAGATCGGCCCATCGGTCGGCATCATGAGATGACCATGATGGTGATGCCATTCTCAATGCAGACCCGAATGCAATGAATGGCTCGGCCTTTTGCGAGTCGTGAGGCGCCGACAGCCCTGCCCGCAGTCACAGTCACACCACAAGCGCCGGCAACTTTTACATACCAATAAATAAGGGCCACAGCAATTTGCGTCCATCAGACATTCTGTGCAGAAGCATCGTGGTGGATTTTTTTTTTTTTTTTTTTTTTTTCTTTTTTTTAATCGGGG